GATACCCACCGTTGGCCTACAACCGACTTACATCAACTGAAGTGGATCGTGGTGCTGAATCTCTTAATTTGGTTACATATTACATAAACAATCGATAGAATCCACTCAACACTCTGGACTAGCCAGCAAAAAGTATGTGATTTTTCAGTAACCAATCAGTACAGTTATTTGGACACTGAACTGATAGTTAAGTGAAATAAAAGGAAATGATTGATAGTTTAATATGTACCGTGAATGTTCACTGATAGGGACTCGGTGTTATCTGAACTTTGATGCTTTGTGGCGAATGCTTCATCAGCTACCTTGACATCGTCAGTAACACTAAGTACATAGAGAAGTGAGGCACATTGGGATGTTACTTGTGGCAGCGTTTTCGCTGACCTTGAGCAATGTCCCGTTGTGAGTTGCGGGAGGGTGGGGATGGGAGGTAGAAACTTTTTATCATATCTCGACTTCCACTTTAAAATCCATTCTGTTACGGTATTAAAGAATCGAAAGAATGATACAGAAAATTCAGCCACCCCTTTCATAGAAGTAACACTTAATCAGCTGGACAAATGAAAGATCTAAGAATGAACGTTGATGAAACTATGATACTCTGTGACGTATCTTCACTGTTACCTTTAATCAATACAAATCTAGTCAAAGAGAGAGTGGGCAACCGTTTGAAGAATGACAAAACTCTTCTCGACCATATGAATCTCACGGCTGTAAAACTAACATGGTTAGTCGACCTATGTCATATGACCAACTTACAGTTCAGTAGAAGGATTTACAAACAAACAAAAAGGATAATTACAGAATCGCAAACAACAGGAGTAATACAGCGACTGGAACCAACAGTCACCCCTCTCATTAAAAATTTAGATTCGGTAAGTTGACGACACACTCGTCATTCGCTTGGCAGAAGAACCAGAAAACATGTGCAAACTAACCAACCAAACAACAGATTTCCATTCTCAGATATCTTAATCAGTTAAGCGCACAACAGAACTTTGCTTACAGATTAAATTTTGAACCACAACATCAATCATCATCCTAAAGTCTATAGGAAGTGTTGTGTACAACGGCCCAGAATACATTGAAAAACTATGGAAAGCAGAAGAAAAATACCAGTACAAAGTGTTCAAAGTCAAAGCTTATCTACTCAGTTTCATCGGAAAGTGTTTATCAAATGAACAAAGGACAGTGTAACTAACCTCAAATCAATAATCATATTGATCTACCCTAAATCAAGGATATCTCGGAAACTGTTAACCAATTACTTTATCCGTTCATGGCTAGAATGGCACTCAAATCAACAAAATCATTATGGAGTATGTTGTTAGACAGATACCAAGATCTAGACTTCTATCATAATTTTGTTTTATTCTGCAGTCTCTTTAAAGAACACCTTCACACTAGAATCATTACTCAGACTTAGAATAATCAATCACATCTCACTTGAGTTAAAGTTGCCTGAGTAAGATCTCTAAGTAACAGGAACAATAAAATTATTGGTAACATCAAAAGATCTGAGACAAGAAATCACACAAATCAATAAGTATCCACTTAAATCTATCAATAAATCCATAAGAAATAGTATGGAAAATATGAGTGGTAGTGGTAGTAATGTGAGTAGTAGTAGTAGTAGTAGTAGTAGTAGTGGTAGTGGTAGTGGTAGTGGTAGTGGTAGTGTTAGTAGTAGTGGTAGTAGTAGTAATGATAATAATAATAATAACAATAGTAGTAGTAACGTGTGTGTCAGTAATGGTTCTGTTATTATTGTTATTAGTATTACTGATTATAATAGTAATAAAAATGGTGACTAGGTGAAGATAGAATTGAAAGCCTCTACTGTGTTCCTATACAAAGAAGCCCCCTTGAAAGCGCTACGGAGAATTCTCAGAAAGGCTGGGATTTGAGTGGGATTTAAACCCATGAAATGAATCAGAAAGATAATTTTTAGGTTTAAAAAACCCTTTTGATGGAAAAAACCAAAATGATTTGGTTTATCAAATCCCTTGCAACGATTACGTAGTCAAATATATAGGTCAAAGTAGTCGAACAGTCACAGTTAGCCTATTCAAGTAGACAAAACTAGCTAGATGAAAATTGCTAGGTTATAGTAAAATGAAGAGATTAGTGAAAGCTCTGCCATAGCTACGTATGCAATTACACACAACCATACAATTAGATTGAAGAGGTAAGGAGATGTTTAAAATGATCAAAGTAGAGTGGAGAAAGAGACGGTTAATCGAATAGAAAGGTCATCAAGTAAGTAATACATTATCACCATGTGCTGTTGATCAAATAAAAAAGTCCAAAATGGAATTGCATCCTAACACAATACAAACGTTTTGCACTGAATATATATATATACTGAGAAATGATCGAAGGTGGAATATAAATTCAGATCACGGTCGGATTCGAACCAGCAAACACCGAGTTTCTGCCTCGAGTCACTGCTTAGAATCCAACCACGGTACTAATGTTCATTTCATCTTCAATCATCCATCACCCAGTAGTATTATCACTAGTCTGCCAAACTACAACTATCTCAACCAGTCAAATATATACATATATATGTATATTTGTTCGCATTCTCTGCATCACCGAAGCTTTTCACATCCATATCGAGAAATCTGAACCATGTAGTCAAAAGGAAATTGTTCAGCCTATTCTCCTTCCATCGTCCACATTTGTAGGCTTTGATATCACCTCTTCATTTCTACACTATCCTCTTCTTACGTAATTTACCATTCATTCCTATTCTTATACTGTTTGTGATCACTCACACTGCAATTTCCAAATATTTTGTCATTTTACAAAACTTCTTATCCAAACTTAATAAGCATTAGCTGAAAGTGTTAATCACTGAGATGGCCAAATCAAGCGACAGGAGAGTAGAAAGATTAATGTGACGAAAGGGTGAGGTGGATAAAACGGAGTGAAGCATATCAAGATGAAATTGACACCAAGGTAGAGAGGGAGAGAGAGAGAGAGATATGAAGACTGTATATACTCCTTTTGCATTGGATTGTGATAGCCGGTCCCTGTGGTGTCTTCATAATTTGAAGATGGAGGGAAGGTGAGATGTTTGAGTGAATTGGATAGACAACAGTGAAATCATTGTGTTGAGTGGATTGAATGTTGAAGGATGGAAATTCTGATGGATTTCCCTTCACTGTCACAAAACCAGATTGGAATATATTTGTGTGTAGATGTGGACAGCAAGCAATCTGTGGTTTCGACTGATGTATCTCGCTCCACATGAGTGTAGGTGAACTGCTGGATGTATATGGAGGTGGTCTGTCGATTGACATTGTCTTCTTCACAAATGGAGAACAATTAAGTGTTGCTAAGGATGAGATGAGGTTTTTGTGTGAATTGGTCTTACTAATTGATGTGGGAAGACAATGATTTAGGATGTGTGATGTGTGATGGTGGATCACCTTCAACTTTTAGATTGATGAACAATGTGGTTTTGTAAATTGAGTTGACGACATATTTCACATGTGTTTCTAGCCTATTCTTATGAATACATGGTCTAGGATATCTGTTTCGGTTAAGATCCTTCTCCGTAATTATTTGTACTGGTTACATTGTTATAACAGCCATTATTTCTTATTTCAGCCTTTCATTATTTAAGTTAAATCTTTGTGATGGACTGGTGTCTTTAAATATCATGTGTATACGAATGTACGTCATGAGAATAAATACGTTGAAATGCGTTCTCTTTACTGAGGATGCTACTTTTTTTACGTATAAATTGTTGTCATATTTTACATACGGGTTTCTACTGTGAGACCTCTACAAATGAATAATTTATTAATTTGTGACTGCATAGGTTTGTGAATGAACCGGTCGAAGTACTTGCTTATTTTACATGCTTTGATGGGTATCTTTCGTGCATAATCCGCTTACGTGCCTCATTTCAGTAATCTTGCTTGTTTCGATATCTGCCTTCCATGTGATCCACTATTTTCAAATTCTAGACATTTGAGATAACAACATGAATAAACAAGCTTGGAGGTTGAATTTTGAGTTAGTTGTGGGGATTTGGAAATATTTCAAGTTGTTATTCATCGAAGATTGACATCAGTTGGAGGAGCAAAGTAAACCTCAGGGCACTGGACAGCCGTACGAGACTTTTCAGCAGTGTGCACCCACGACCTCGCCAGGGATGGAACCCGTAACCTTCAGGTTCCGTGGTCAGCACGCCACCATTGAGCCACTTTGTCAGAATCCAATGGTCCATATTTCCAACTTTTGCGGGGTGGTGGGTGAGCACTCCTGAGGAGTCTCATGCTAGGACGAAACTGCTGTCCAGTGTTGTCAGGTTTCCTTTGTTCTTCCAACTAATGTCAGTCTACGATGAATAACAACTTGAAACATGGTGTTAAGAACGTAAAATTTCGTACCACTACATAACACGCTGAGCCGAAAAATCACTTGGTAAGCTATAGGACATGACAGATCAAAGCAAATCATTTCATGCGTACTTGTCGAGACGTTTCCTTACTAATCATCGAATTTATCACAAAAAGACAACAATAATTCTTATTTCCAAAACAGTTAAAACGCAGGACAAATTCTTCAAAAACTGATATGATAGGATAAAGTGTGATACATGTCCCCTAGGTATGTGTGGTTCTACTCAGACATTTGGACTGCTTTCGTCGACTTAATTTCAAACAATTTATGATAAGCAACACTTCATCAGAAAGTAGTGTTTATTACTTCTAGTCTGTGACAAAAGTACAATTTTGAGAAACAAAATAAACTACTAATGAGTAGCATAAATACTTAAACAAAACATATTTCCCTGGGGATAGAGTTTTGCAGATTGTGAAGTATGTGTAACATGGAATACATAAATGTACTTGCACGGAGTTAGTCCACAATATTTCCACTTCTTGCTTCCATATAATTGAGATTGAATTGGTTAATAGAGTCTATTTGCTTTTTTTAATGCACAAATTGACAAAATATCAACTGTTGAAAATTTTTTCATACAGTTAAACACATTTTTGATGTACGATTTCTGAACCGAATTCTTCATATTCCTCTCTGGTGACCCACATATCATTGAATGTACTTAATGATGCTAATACAGCGCCACCAATCCAGACAGAGTATTTACGTTCAGGAGATGCCATCACTTTAACTGTCACACCTTTTGGTGCTAAACGATGCAATTCTTTACGAAGACGTTCAGGAAAACCACGAAACATTGTACCACCACCAGTGAGAATAACATTTGACCAAAAGCTCTTACGAACATCCATTCCACACAGAGATATAGTTTGACTTGTAGCAGTATGTATACCATTCATCTCATAACCGGCTAACTTTGGATCGAACATTACCTCAGGTGCACGAAATCTTTCATTACCAATGTTTAATACTTGACCATCAGGTAGTCGATATATCATTTCACATGATAGTTTATCTTGATGACTAAGTTGTAATTCTTTCTCATAATCCATAGCAACATAACAACAATTCTCTTTTACATCACGAGCTATTTCATGCTCACATGTTGTAACAAATTTATAGCCTCTTTCAGTGAGTAAATGTTTCAGATAATTGGTCACTTCACGTCCAGCAAGATTTCTTCGATGTATAGCATTTGGAATAACATAAGCATCGAATACAGGAACTAAATGTGTAACACCTTCACCACAGTCTAATACTAAACCAGTTGTACGACCAGAAGCATAAAGTGATAGAACAGCTTGAATTGAAATATACACCGCTGGAGCATGAAATTGTTCAAACATAATTTCAGCCATTTTTTCACGATTCACTTTTGGATTCAAAGGTGTTTCAGTCATTAGCATAGGATGATTTTCAGGATTTATACGTAATTCATTGGTGAAAACATGTTGCCATATTGTTTCTAAATCATCCCAATTTTGTACAACACCATTTATAATCGGATAGGATAAAGTTAATGCACCTCTTTTTCCTCCAGCAATATCACCTATAAAGCATTCATCTAAATTTTGTTCAGTAATCAATTTCATATGCTTTGGTCGACCTAATATCATGGGAACAACAGCACGAGGTTCCATTTCACCAGCATAACCAACTTTCAATAAACCAGTACCATTGTCAATAACAATTGGAGGATTATCTGGACCCAATATCAACACCATAATTCATTAAATGTTTATTTCTTTTTTATAATAATCAAAAGGGAAATAATTTAACTAAGGTGATATGGATTGATTTCTGTGTCAAATGGAATGTGCAATATATTGAAATATCCGAATTGGAATTTTTCAGAAAAAAAAACTGGTAAATTCTAGTCTAATTTAGTTGGTCTTTTATAGTTTGGCTGTAGAGCTTTTCTCTTAGTAAATGTCTGTACATTTTTACATAAGTTGCTAACTTCAATGAAAGTTCCATAAAAATGTTTTTGTGTGGGTATTTCTCTCTCTGTGTGTGTGTAATCTTTTATGATTGTACAAAACTACCTAGTGACATCCATATATGCACTCACAAAAAAGAAAACTATTTGAGCATACAAACACACATGATTCTATTAAATTCTTTTAAAGTAATCATTTTTGAGTGTGTTATAGTTTAGTTGATGGTGGCTAGCAGTGTGAAATCCAGGACAAGTGTCTCATTCTATTTGATACTCATCAACCGGATGTATTAATACCCCATTGAGTAATGTCGAACCCGCTGAGACTCGAGTCCAGCAGGAATCGTGTCCTTCAACGATCTAGTGGATAACGCTTTGGAGTTTGAAGTGATGGGTGCCAGATTCAAATCTTAGCGGGAGGTAGATCCATCCTGTTGTTGAGTCTCAAACTGGACGGAACACACATCCTGGATTCCACTGCTAGCCATCACAAAGTAAACTACAAAAAATGGAGTGAACAGGCAATATTGAGGCATCTCCATAGCCATCCGTATGCCAAGGGAGGTCGATCAACTGGATACAGAATAACAACAGGAAATTACGAGTTATTGGTGATAGGATTAATCCGAGCATAGTAACCCGGTGTGATAGCAATAGAAAGAACCACAGTCCGTCAATCATAGGACAGAAGAAGAAACTGTGAATGAAATTACGATCAGTAACATTGATCACATTGTCAGATAAAGAACAAAACATTCATCAGCTGACAGCAACGGCAACTTTGAGAAAACTCATGTTTTCTTGGAGATTTAAAGTGGCATTACTCATTGTTAAAGTTAAATACTGTATTACTGAGAGAGGGTGAGTTTCCTCAAGGTCTTAAGATATATATAACCGGCTACTGAGTGTCGGCAAGTGTGAAGCTTAGATTAAATAAGACTAACTTCTGACACCCAACAACATAACATGTTGCATATCATTGTTGTGTCACTTAGCTTACTACCTATATTGCGAAACTGCGAGTTGGACTTTGATAAGGACCCGAAACCAAGGTCTCGGTACATACTTCAATTATCATCTCTTCACAGTCTATGACTTTATATTCAAGCTGTCAGTTTCCAACTGAAGTGTATTCACTTAAGAAAGAACTATCGTGTGATAGATAACATTAAATAGTTTTCTTAGATAAACCATTACTTATAAAAATGCGGTATAATGAGTGAACTTGATCGAACATCTATATGGTTACAAGTTTGAAATCAGTACCCATTCTAACATTCTACTGTCTTATGACAAATGCAGAGGAAATCTGGGTAACCAATCAAACCCTGTACGCTGGTGATGTTAAGTTATGGAGAGCTATGACGTCAGAAACAGAATCAAGTGCGTTTTCTTTTCTCTTCTCTTTTCAGTATCAGTCTGACGAGAAAGTCCTAAGCATTAATTTGATCAAAAAGTATCAACTTACTGGAAATCCTACTTTGCGCCTAATACTGGAAATTGATGTTAGAAGTATCCAACTGGCTCGCCCCCGATTTCTTGTTTCTTGGACAGCTTCACAATCAACTTATACCCCTACCAGTACCTTACGTAATACCAAATATGAAACCCCAAACACAATAACTGGTCTCCAATTTATCGTCCGTGACAAATGCAGCAGAAATATGGATAAACAATCCAACCCGAGAGATCACTTTACCTAACGGCAACACATCCATAATAATGCTATGCAACAAATTATTCTAGTACTTTGTCTTGTATCAATCCATCTAATATAAGTCAATAAACAGCCAATATATTTCCCTGACAATGCTGTATACTTTAATGTGAAGTCTATGAAGTTTTACACATGTGTAATATTCACCACTGTTGAACGACGATTCTTCAATTACTTGCACCACAACAAATATTTTCAGTATTACTAATCTGAATTGCTGGGAAAGATAACACTTGAAGAGTGAGAAATGCCTGGATTGTATGCCTGTGATTGTATGGATACTTACTCATTCCTGAAATCATTGAAGTAAGTTATTGTTGGTCAATAAAGCTAAGAACATAATTACTGTTAAATTCGACGTTTATTTGACGAAACACTGAGTTTTCGTAGATGGGTCAATCATGTCGACTACTCGTAACAGAAACACCGAATGTTGAGCCGTTTAATATGAAAAAAGAATTGTGATTAGGAATAATTTAAACTCAGAACGAAATGTATGTACTGTAAAGTGATATTTTCCTGCTATTTTCATAACATTTAGACACTTGGGAAGCTCAGTGATGCTTTTGAATTGAAGACAGGAGTAAAAAAGGCTGTCTACTGGATCATGCAGCAAACAGTGAGGAGCGAGAAGAGGAGGATACACTGGCTGGACCGAGGAAAAGAACATAGAAAATTTGGACTTCACCGATGATGACCTGTGTCTCATGTCACACAAACCTGAAGATGTACAGGCGAAAACTAACAAGTTGACAGAAAAGGCAGTGAAGACGGCACTCCCTTCAAGTGAATATAGAGAAGACAGAAGTAGAGGTGATGATGATACCCAACCAACAACACCAACAACAAAAACAAGCTCCAATCACCATGAATGGGAGAAACTTAAAGGAAGTAGTCTCCTTCACCTATCTAGGAAGCACTGTTTCAACTACAGGCAGCACAGGCACAGACGAGGATGTCAAAGTTAGAATAGGAAAAGCAAGACAGGCTTTCATTAACCTGAAAGCAGTGTGGAGATCTGCACTCAGCATAAAGTGTCAACAACATTCGGATTTTCAACACCAATTCAGTCATGTCAGTGCTTCTGTATGGTTCGGAAACTTAGAGCGTTACGAAAGGCATTTCCAACAAACTACACACATTCATCAACAATTGCCTACACTGGCTCGTTACTCAAGCTCAGATCAGAAGGCGAGAATAACAAGAATAAGCAAGAAGTAAGTGTGGCTGGCTGTCAACGAACCAACCAAGGATCTATCGCTGAACAAATATGCAGAGGAAGGAAGTGGAGATGGATTGGATTGGATTGGGCATACACTGAGAAGGCCGACTGGGGACATCACGCGCCAGGCCAGGCCACGCCCTTGAGTGGAACCCTGATGGGAAACCACGAGTTGGGCGTTCGAGGTGAGGGTTACATGGAGGAGATGGTGTGAGGAAGAAATGAGAGCTTGTGGGCTGTCGTGGAGCCAGGTTGGAAAGACTGGAAAGGAGAGAGTGCACTGGAGACATGTTACTGAATTCGTATGTTTTGTTAGGAACCCAAGAGACAAATAATATATAATAATAAGTGTTCCACAGTGCTGGAAGCTCGTTAGCTTTCACTGCACATATTTTTCAGAGACTGTAGAAGTCCAGCAGTGAAAGACATTACAGAATATTGCTGGATACCTTGATTCATCTTCTGTTTACACGGTTACCGAGGACTGTCTACTTGTTTAAGAAAAAAATTACCTAAGAAGACATAACAATTGATGGTAATATTATTTAGAAAAGCAAGTAGAAATATGCTTCTTCGTAGTAATCTCTGGAATATACTGGGGATCCTATCAAACTTCATGCCTGAAATGACTTTCTCATGACTTTTTACTAGACTTGACGTTTAAACACACATTGAAAGTTCCAGTTATAAGAATAGTCTGTGGAAATAAGATGTTTACAAAGTTAACCATAAATATGTATCATTATTATAGTGACTGAATGACAATAAAAATATGCGAACGATAATAACTCGATGAGGCACTTGACTTGAATACATATAGCTACGGTTCTCTCTCAGAACTTTATATTTGATTGTACCGTAAAAATCAGAAAACAAAGACATACCTATGACTCTAAGGAGGAAACTTAATTCGACAAAAATGCATCATTTATATACAGTTTTCAGGAACATATAAAATCACCAAGTCAAAAATTAGACTATTTATTTGATTGGTCAGCTATCGAATAAATTAGTATAATTGTTTTTATATCATAACGTCGTTGATTGGGCCGAACTGATACGTCTCTATTGGCATATGGGATCCTGTGTAGATGCCTCGATATTATTATTCCTACCATTAGATCACGGGTAATATCGAGGCATCCACACAGGATCCCATATGCCAATAAAGATGTATCAATTCGGTCCAATCAACGACGGTATGTTATAAAAACAATTATACTAAAACCTATACCCGTCGCACAAGAAGCGGCTATCATGGCTCGGTGTGGTAGTGAAAAACGTTCCGGCGTTTGGTGCGATCACTCCTGAGTCCGAATCCCAATGGCAACAAAATCACTCATCGGGAAGCAGGTACATCCAACTGAAAAATCCTAAATAGGACGGAATGCGCATCCTGAATTCCACTGCTAGCTACTACCCATCATTATTATCGGATTAATTGTCCAATAAGCTTTTTCCTGACCACACAGTGACATGAAGTAAAAACTGAAATTCAAAACTTCTACCATAGCGGCTGATGTTGATTTTTATTTAGACCACTTCCTATCAACCAATACAGAATTTGTAGGATTTTTAAAACGAATCAAACTTCAAATCATCTCATCTTAGGTTGCTTAATGTTAGCTGAGTAAAATGTCTAAGTAACAGGCACAAGAAATTTAATGGTAAGGCAGAATGTATAAGATAAGAAATCAGATACATTAAAAACAACTTTGTCATAGGTAAATAACCTCGGAAACTAATTAGTGAATTCATCAGTAAGTGTAAGAAAAATATGACTTATAGTAGTAACACATAAGTGTAAACGATAATGATGACACTTTGAATGGAGAATTCAAAATCT